AGATATATAATAATTAAGTGTAATAAATATGAATATTAACATTTCATTGGAGGAAAAGGAAGGATATGTGGAATTTGAATGACATAAAATAATATATTGAAATATTGCATAAGATAATGAAAGATTACAACTTAATAAAAATAAATTCCCCTCTATTTCCATGAGTTGAGTATCTCACATTATGTACATTTTCTTTAAATAAGATTTGCCCAGCCTGTATTTTCCTTCTTAAACTCACCAGATTGCTTGTCATATCCATTTATTCGTTATATGCTGTTAGGGGTGGTTTTCTTAATGTTTGTCCTACATGGTTATAGTTTGCTTATTTTTTCAGTACACACTGATCTAGTTCTTACAGCACAGTTGTAGATGAGAGGATGACATGAAGATCTAGTTGGACTGATAATCATTTTAAGAATTGGCACTCAATTCTCATGCCATCGAAAGCATGCTTCCAAAAATTTGAAACGTATCTGACAGACTTAAGAGGGAGCCGCAAGCCCGTTGTGTGCCAAATACTTTAAGCCCTTTTTTAATGGTGAATGCTGTTAAGTTCTGGGTAAAGAATGGAGGTGAGGCCAGAGTAATTTCTAACAGCTCTTTATTCAATACTGCCTGTGAGGCAACTGAACTCCCTGGCTGACACAGCTCCTTTCAGAGGAAACTGATCAGCCAAATAACCAAACAGGATTTTCCCGCTCCAACAGAGGATCAGAATAAGAACTTCAACTGACAACTATACACTATATACAATACATAACAAATGCCTCTTTAATTATAGTCCCATTTATGTATGCTCTGTTGATCCTTGAATCAAGTGTAAAGAAATGAAGTTACATACTTTGCCATGATATTTATAGGGAGACTTATAGGACCTGTGTGCCATTTTAGCAGGGGTGGGATTCTACCTGGTTGGATCAGTTCTATAGAACCAGTTGTTATGATTCTGCCCAGTTCAGAGAACCGCCAAATCGTGCCACTAGCTGGACCCTCCCCTCCACACCTACTCACTCCAACTTGCCTGCCTTTGTAAGTTGCTATTTTTCCTCCCCCCCGCCCCCCCGACCATCAGCTATTCTGCTGTGCTGGGAGATTTAGATTAGCTAGAAAGCAGGAAATCATTGGGTTTCTTGTTTTGTAATTAATGTAAAAGCAGAGCTGAACCTTCCTTAGGACTGAAGCTTCTATTTTTCAGTGCAGACTCAGGCAATAGATTACAGAATGGTAGATCTCTAAGTGAATATGTGATTCTGTGAGTAATTCAGTCTGCCTGCCTACTTTGCCTGATTTCGGGTAAAAGTTGCTCTTTTTTAAAATAAAAAATTCAATATTTACATACATGGTGTGTTGTGAGTTAATTTTATGAGTTTGCTTGCAAGCAAATTTTATGTGACAGACTCAGGTAGCCAATGGCAGAAAGATAGATCTCTGAATCTGTGATTCTGTGAGCAACTGCCTTCCTGCTTTGCCTGATCTTGGGTAAAAGTTGCTTTTTTAATAAAAAAATTCAATTATTTACATAAATATTTATAATATTTACATACAAGCCACACCCAGCCAGTCACATGACCACCAAGCCATGCCCAGTCAGCAAGCCACACCCACCCAGTCACATGACTACTAAGCCACACCCACAAATTAGGCCATGCCCACAGAACTGGTTGTTAAGTAATTTGAATCCCACCCTTGCATTTTAGATGAACCATTACTGGCTGCAGAATAACTGGATTGTCATGCTCCAACATGGCTGTGAAGACAGAAAGAAAAAAGCTGATCAGAAACATTACTGCTATTTGTTGTTTTGGCTTTTTACTGACTTAAAAGATGTGGCAGTATTTTAATCCATGCTACAAATTTTGTTTGGGAATAGGAGTTGTGATTGGAGCTTGAGAAGTTATAGTCCTTCTCTGGTAGAATTGCCCATTGCAAGTGATTCGAGCCTTGCCCTGCTTAGAGTTCTCATTTATAGAATATAGAGATCTTTGCATGAATGGTTATATAAAGAAAGCTAAATCATATAATGATTTATTCCAGGTAGGATTAGGTTTTTCTCATCCCCCAAATTTATAGGAACCCTATTGAATTACAGTATAATTACAAATCTATGGGGTTAGCTAATTGGGCCTGCTGCAAGCCATTGCTGGTAGTAAATTGCACTAGGCCCCGTTTTTAAATCTATAGTAGAATCTGAGTAGGTAAATAGAAGAGAGATAGAGAATCTGTGGCTACCCAGGCTTTGCAGTAAAACAAATATTAGTTATTCCACAGAATATGGTATTAAAATGCTAACAAATGAAATTTAAAAATATTTGAAAGATTGTACTGTAAATTCCTCTTAGTTGAGCTATGTTATATGGGACTTTCAAGTTATTAATACTAATGGCATACGTAGGCTACATGGATTTCAGCATAGTTACTCTAAAGAAAACTAATTCTCAACCCAAACCATTTGAACAAACTCTCTGTGCAAGATGCATTATTATAGGAAAAACAAATTATTCTGTCGCCATCTTTCTAACCTTTAGATGGCTCATTGCATATGAATGTGATGTTCTGTGAAAATGTGTCTCAGCAGATAAATGTTCATTTTAAAAAAAGTATTCAGAACACTAGCTTTGGACACAAAAGCTTGTGGAAAGACGCCAAGAAATAAATCAATGAAAATTCAAGGCAATGTGCCATTCTATGTTGCCTTCACAGAGATTGTCTTTCTCATTAATGTTTTAAGGACCTGATTCAACAACAAGAAGATATCTTTGCCACAAAAATAGAAAAAGATCCCTGTCTAAGAATCCGTTTCAGGCAGGATTTCCAGATCTTTCTTTAGAAGAAATTTAGACTGTTCTCTGGTGCAGTGAAATGTATATCCCATTCAGAATTCATTGGAAAAGCTTTCACATAACCATGAAGTTCATGGGTGCCTGATGGAAGACAGAAATCATTCAGTTCAAAGGGAATAATCATATTAAGATATGCAGTCAACTCAGTGTTAATTCTATTTATATTAAATCCTAGCTCAAAAATATTTCTTGTTTCTGAATAAGAGGTTGATCATTCTTAAATTAAGAATTGTGATGTATGTGTAAAGTAGAATACATGGCCTCTTATTCTGGATATGAAACAGGAAGCATAATTTTAAATTCCCATGATAAATAAATTATTTCCTCGGCTGCACTTTGAACAAATATAGCAAGTGGATGAGAAAGACATGGGCAATCTATAAATAGCAATTGAGAATGGTGAAAGAGCTGCCTTCAATTGGTTGTGTGTGGTTTTTTTTTTTTTTGAAATTCAGTATTTTTATTTGGATAGTATTTTTGTAAAGGCCTTCTACTTCAGTTAAGTGGCATCTAAAACTTTGTATGTGCCTATATATAAATAAAGGGTCAAACTCTCATCACAAGGTACATCACAATGTGCCCTGTATAATTACTTGAAATCTACTGGCTGAATTATTTTAGAAGTTCTTATTATGTCCTACTAGATATGATAAATGCATTAATTCCCTAATCCCTGTGTCTATGTTATGCTGTAATATTTCAATTTGTAGAATTTCATCAATTTAAAATATTAGCATACATTCCTTCATTCAAAAAAAAAATTAGTATCCTTTATAGCAGGTATATCCAACCCAGTGGTGGGATTCAAAATTTTTTACTACTGGTTCTGTGGGTGTGATTTGGTGGGCCTGGTATGGCTTGGTGGGTGTGGCTTGGTGGGTGTGGCAGGGGAAGGATACTGTAAAGTCTTCATTCCCTCCCCTCTCCTAGGGGAAGGATACTGTAAAATCTCTATTCCCTCCCCATCCCACTAACCTGCTTTCCAGCTCCACTCTCCTGTGCAGGGCAACAAAAGAAGACCCAGCCGATCAGCTGGGACTTGAGAGACAGAAAATATATAGGGGTGGGGCCAGTCAGAGATGGTATTCTGAACTACTCAAAATTTCCACTACCAGTTCTCCAGAACTGATCAGAACCTGCTGAATACACCTTTGATCCAACCCTTGGCCCAAGGGCCACATTTGATTGTTCGTTTGTTTATTGGCCATCCATCTTACTATAGGGTAACTCTGGGAAGCTTACAGTTATATCTTAGTTAAAACATAGAATGTTAAAAAATCTTAAAACCAAAGACACACATGGGAATGATGGGGTGGAGTGGAGCAGAGGTGGGATCTATTATTACTAATCAACCACTTCCATTGCACTGTTCCCACTGTGTCCCCAAGCCAACTGGCAAAGCCATGTCTTTAGACCAGTGGTGGTATTCTGCAGATTCTGACCAGTTCTGGAGAACTGGTAGCGAAAATTTTGAGTAGTTCAGAGAACCGCCAAATGCCACCTCTGAGATTTTACAATATCCTTCCCCTGCCACTCCCACCAAGCCACACCCACAGAACCAATAGTAAAAAAATTTGAATCCTATCTCAGCTTTAGACCCTTACGAAAACATCGGATGGTTACTGCCAACCTCACATTGAGAGACAAGATGTTCTAAAGGGCAGGAGCACAGCAAAGAAGTGCATCCTCCTGGACCCCACCAGCTGGAATAATCAGGCTGATGGGAGCCACAGCACACCTTCTCTGCTGGCATGAGTGATATGGGCCAATCCCAGTGGGGTGAGGCAGTTTTATACATTAACTATATTATATACAAAATTCATTTAATGCAGCCGAGGCACGCCAAAAGGTTGGATACACCTGTTTTATAGGTGTATCCTATAGTGGATACAATTAGTTATATTTTAATTTTGTTCCATGCTGTCAAGAGTCAGCTGCTTATGAGATGGGCAGCTATATAAATGTAAATAAATAAAATACAAGTCACAAAGAAAGTAAAACTTTGTAATAAGTTACTTTTTCTCTTATAATGGAAACCAGGTTGTTTTCTTAGCAAGCTTGTCTTTTCAATTCTACATATCTATTTCATCAGATGTTGAAAAAGAAATGTTAATATAACCATCTGCTTCATTGCTATGTGTTTAATTCTTTTTCTTTTAGATATTCTGAAGATTATTATTTACAAATAGTTGGTAAACTACAGAACTGTACCTGGAATAGAAGGCCACAAGAATATGCCAAATTCAGGTAAGGGTATTTGTAAATGAGCCCCACACATAAGCTTAGTATGTTATTTTTTAATTCTACAAAATCATCTGCAGAAGAACTTTAAATGAAAATGTGATATACTATATACTAAAGTGATATACTAAAATAATAAAATTGTATTTTTAACTCTCTAACTTGAAACATACTACTGTTTGAATTCTTCTACTACTTTGGGAGTACAGTGCTATATCAGGGCAATTTTCAGTGGAATGAAAACTAGAGAAATGATCTGTAATTCTACTTTTTCTTTCCATTTTTGTGGATGAATTGCAGAATTAACCAGATTTAGCTTAGTGGCTGCAGCATTTTAGCAATATACATAATGCTTCCTTCTACGAGATATATTACATAGTATGCTTTTACATGGGCAACAAAAGTACTTATATTAATAGATAATAGATAACAGATAATCAGAGTTGGATTACTTTGTGGATCATCTAGTCCAACCCCTTGCCCAAGCAGGAGACCCTACAACATTTCTGACAGATGGGAGTCCAATCTCTTCTTGAAAGTCTCAAGTGATGGCGCTCCCACAACCTCTGAGGGCAAGCTGTTCCTTTGGTTGATTGTTCTCACTGTCAGAAAGTTTCTCCTTATTTCCAGGTTAAATCTCTCCTTGTTCAGTTTCCATCCATTATTCCTCGTCTGGCCTACAGGTGCTTTATAAAGTAGCTTGACCCACTCCTCTCTCTGGCAGCCCCTCAAATATTGGAACACTGCTATCATATCTCCCCTGGTCCTTCTCTTCACTAGACTAGCCATGCCCAGTCCCTGTAACTGTTCATCTGTTTTAGCCTCCAGTCCCCTTGTGATGACCTGGAGTGTAAGACAAACGTAGCAAAATTCGAAACATAAATAAATGTCCTTTAATGCCTCCAACTTGGCCGCACTGTTCAATAATTCTCAGTTGAAGATAAAACTTATTCAAAAATAGTCTTTAAAAGAAAGCAATACAGTCTGAATTTAATGAGCGGATAGAGGTGAAATAAAAAACCTAAAACAAACTATACAATGAAGGGAATTCCACAATGGAACAGGATAAATAATTACCAACTTCAAGGAAATAACAAGGCACAGTCTGTTGGAAGGATGCCAACCAAGATAACTCTAGCCCAAAATAAAACACACTTTGCTTCTGGCAATGCTGTGTTGTAACCGTCTCTCTTATATACTATTCTCCCCAGCTACAACCAATTAGGGGGATCATAGCCGCTTTTTCTCTTGTAAGCCAAGTTGTTTCCTTCTCCGTTCTTCCCTGTGTGTCCTAGGATGAAGAGGGGATGGGCCTGGTTCTTCCTCTGACTGCCCAGCCATCCTCTGCCTTTCCCCAGACTCCTCCACAACCTCTGGAGCCACACCTTCACTCCCTGTCGGCTGTTCCTCCTCTCCCTCAGAGTCCGACTCTAACAAGGGCATGACACCCCTAATCATCCTGGTTGCTCTTCTCTGTATTTTTTCTAGAGTCTCAACATCTTTTTTATAGTGTGGTGACCAAAACTAGATGCAGTACTCTAGGTATGGTCTTACTAAGGCTTTATAGAGTGGTATTAGTACCTCACTTGATCTTGATTGTATCCCTCTGTTAATGCAACTTAGGATTGCATTGGCTTTTTTGGCTGATGCTGCACACTGCTGGCTCATATTTAGCTGGTTGTCCACTAAGACTCCAAGATCCTTCTCACAGTTACTGCTATTAAGCCTAGTTTCACCCAGTCTATATGTGTACTATTGATTTTCCTAATATAAATGTAATATTACATTTCTATGAACACGTTGTCAGGATTCTGGCAGTTACTCCAATTAAATCATGAGTCTTGAGCTACACTCCTAAGGTAACATTCTATGTCCAGCATTTACTTGGGTGTAGCCAACTCTGAGATACATAATTCACTGTCACCCTTGATCCTGCTTTTCCCCACACCACTCTGGGTGTCTCATCCAACGAAAAACATCCATAATCATCAATCATGCTCTCCAATTAGATTTCTGTGCAGCAGAAGCTTCAGTCATCTAATCAGTGTTTGAAGAAAATATGAATGGAATGTACTTTCGATTCCACACTGCCGCCTGCTCTTTGAAACTCCCCCCCTTCTTTCTGTTGTCAACTATAAAACATGTGTACAAAATGTTTTTATGAGTTGACATTCGGCTCTCCTCACTTCTTGACTCCCCGCCCCCTTCTGACACATGTATTTTGTGGAGTCTAATGGCTGAGAGTAGTGGGGTATTTACATTTTTAAATTGTATAGAGATTATTGTATGGTTGGTTGTGTTTAGTTTAATTTTTTTTTCTTTTTTAGTGGTGTTTGTCCAGTTTTACTTGTGGAAGAGCACCTCATTTCGTTGCACCCGCTTGCGAGTGTAATGACAAATAAATTCTTATGTCTTATATTAGATAGTAAATTTATTTTGCCCAAATACTTTTCTTTGCAGAGCAGAGGCAGGCAGATTTTTTTTAGCTGCAAACAACACTCTGTTGTTAGAGAAATGAAATTACAGCACCATAGCAATGTGGTTGAAATATTCAGCAACAGGATTTCTTGCTTTTTTGTCTTTGTTTTGTTTTTAAAATAAACTAGTAAGGGATTGTTACACTTACTTTACTTTTCTTTCACCAAAAGATACCATTTAAGTGCCTTTAAAAATGAACAGAAAGATCATGAAAATAAAGCTACCAGTGGCTCAGTTTGTATGATATGTTTACCCATATGTTACAGAAATATTGCTTAGTCAATAATCCCTTGTTCTGGGTTTGCACAACACATTGAATCATGGACTAATTAGATGGGGTAATTTGAACAAATACAATTTGTATTCACTGCATCATGCAAAGACCAGCCAACAATGAGTAATCATATTTGTCTGACATGCTCCTTCTAGTTTTAAATAAAAGCTCTTATCAACTGCTAGGGAATTAAGAAAATGGATTGGCTATTTCCTGTATTCTTACTCATTCCTATTATCTTGTAAGCGATTGACAGATCAAATCAAATCAAATCAATCAATAAAATAAAATAAAATGTCCTGTTTCTGAATTAATACTGTGGAAGGTGAGATGTTGAACCAGAAAGACTTTTGTTCTGGGATAACTGTTATAGATGGGACCCTGATATATTTTGTTCAACATACCAAACTTAAGAATTTGAAAGTCAAACTAATTTCAGTGTGCATGTGCTTTGGCTGCTTCCTGCTACTCAAAATATTGCAAAAGTATCTTAGAATGGACGAGCATTTGTTCACTTTTTCAGTCTTTTGAAAAGGATTCCTGTTAATAGCTTTCTTCAGTGTTACATTATCCAGTTGAATTTGGAAAACAGATTAGGTAATTTTTAGATAATATGGTTTTTGTCCAGGTAGGTTAGGAATTTTGAGAGATGGAGATCTCTAAATTTTCAGGTTGGGCTGGATCCAAGCCTGCTGATGCCTGAAGCTGTAGGGAATATTACATTGCATTTTATGTTGTGGACAATGAACAGTAGAAGCTAATATTTTAAAGGGGCAATGTATAAAATGTGAAAAAGGGCATGCATACAATGAGATCAATTTGGTGTAGTGGTTAAGGCAGCAGACTAGAACAGTGGGAGATCTTGAGTTCTAGTCCCATCTTAGACACAAAGCAAATTCCAAATCATCTTGCCAAGACTTAAAGTCATTCCTACCTCTATATATACCCTTTTGATTTCTTTATAACTCATATATAACACAAAGAATTTTTTCTTCATAAGAGGTTAGCAAGTAACTAATTTTGAAAACAATGTCCAGATCAAAATTGAAAATAATTTAAAAAGCAGATTTAAAAATATATTCTGTGCAGTACTTCCTGTAATTGAAACATGATATAAAGAGTCCAAACCTGAGCCTTTTATTTTTTGTCAGTGACAGGGGAATTGAAATATAAAATAGACATGTATTTTCATTTCTGCATGTGTAATCAACTGAATTGTCAATGATTCTTTGAGAAAATATCTTACAAGTATCTGCTTCCATGAAGTTGTCTTTTCTCAGTGCTTTTCCTTTTTATAATTTTCAGAAACTACACATTAATTTTTTACTGGGATCTTGCTTTGAACAAACGAAGAATAGCAATATCCTAATCTTTTTATAAACATGAGAAAACAGTCTTTTCCTGTTAAAAAATTTACTACAGTCCTGGAAATTTTTAGTGCAAATACATACTGTGTGCTCATATGTGTTTTTCTGGCAAATGGCCAAATATATTATGAAAACTAACCAAACAATCCTATGGGAAGTTTGGATTCAGAGTCCAGAAAATCTCAGAGTGTTGAAGAAACAGACTGTATGCTTTAAAAAAAGGTGTACTGAATATTTAATGAGAGACAAGATAGGTCGATCCCTGTAGGTAAATTGGGATTGATTGAGAAGTTTCTGATTTCCACTGACCTCCCAAAGGAATTAGTTGCATGTTTTTGTCTATGTCCTTCTTATGCAGTGGTAATCCATCTTCATAGGATAACAGTTATAAAAAATAATTGACATGCACAGGGGCTCCCTTGAGATAGATAGACCATAGTTCCCCCCCTCAAAAAAATCAAATAAAGCATGGCATATGATGACAGAGATGTACAGAATCAGTGTTGGGTACCATCAGGACTAAAATATTTTTTTGAGCAACCTGTTTATACATGCACGTGCACTCACATGCATGCACACCGATATAGTGGTCTATGATTGTGGTCAATGATTTGGCATCAGATATAACTTTCAAGAAAAAACAGTATTTAATTAATGAACACCGTGGAATAGTTAGTGTGCAGAGAGCTTAACATCAATCACCAACTAAGACAGGTCATTTTAAATAGAAAGTTTGAAGCAGAAAGAACGTCTGTCACCATCTGCAGTCACAAATCAATTCCCAGTTGAAACACACAGCCTGATAATTAACCTACATTTTTGTTTATGTTGTTGGCCTAAATATAAATGCTGTAATTCTAGGCTAAATCTGCAATGGAAATAAAAGT